CCTTCTCGAATAAGCATAATTCCTTAGCTAAACAGGGGATCCACTTGCAGGACTCTGCTAACATGTAATTTACTCAGAGGGCTATAAAGCAATTTCTGTGACTTCCTCCATGATCATGTATTTGGCACCTTTTTAGATTGATTGGAAGCCTATTATGCAAACTGAAACCATTAAAACACACCACCAGATTTTGTTGCAAAGAATTCCTTATTCAAGTAAATTAACTATATTGCTAAAAATAGGGCAAGGAAGTTTGGATGCTGGAAATCCAAAACAAAAACAGAAGCAAAAAGTCTCAGTGGAACTCGGCAAGTCTGGCAACATCAAATGCCAGGCTATAACCGTCACCAATAAGAGACAATCTAACCACCACCCACTGACATTCAAGGGTGTCACCAACACTGAATCCCCCACAATCACATCCTGGGGGTTATCAGTGATCTGAAACTCAACTGGCCTTGCCACATAAACATAGTGGCTACAACAGAGGTTAGGAATACTGCAGCAAGTAGCTCACCTCCTGCCTTCCAAAAGCCTGTCCCTCAACTTCAAGACACAAATCAGGAGTGTGATGGAATACTCACCACTTGCCTAGATGAGTGCAGCTTCAACAACATTCAAGAAGCTTGACACTATCCAGGATAAAGAAGTCCACTTGACTGGCGCTACATTCACATGCATCCACTCCCTCCAACACTGATGCGCAGTAGCAGCAGTGTGTACTATCTGCCAGATGCACTGCAGAAATTCACCAAAGATCCTCAGACAGCATGTTCCAAACCCATGACCATTTCCATCTAGAAGGACAAGGGCAGCACATACATGGGACCACCACCGGCTTCAAGTTCCCCTCTAAGCCACTCACCATCTTGACTTGGAAATATACCACACCTTCACTGTCTCTGGGCCAAAATCCTGGCATTCCCTCCCCAATGGCATTGTAGGCCAACCCACAGCAGATGAACTGCACCAATTCAAGGAGGCAGCCCATCCTCTTCTTCTCAAAAGTAACTATGGACAGGCAATAAATGCTGGCCCACATCCCACAAATGAAGAAAAAAAAATGTAAAGAGGAACGCGTAGATGTGGTGTAATTGGATTTCTATAAGGCATTTGATAAAGTGCCAAATTACAAGTTTATACATAAAAAACTAGTTCTTAAGTGCAAGAGATAATATATCAGCTAAACAATTCCTTATCCATACTAAGACAAAGCAGAAATCAGGGATAAGTGAATATTTTTCAGATTGACAAGCTGGAACTAGTGGGGGAAGTTACACAGGCATCCGTGCTGCAGCTCAACTATTTACAATCAATGATTTGTATGCTGGGACTAAACGCATGGCAACTAAATTTGTCTATGATCCCAACTAGGTAAGAAACGAAGTTGTCAAGAGGAGGTAGAGTCAGCAAAGGGATTTGTGAGTGGACAAAAACCTGATTAAAAAAAAGAGGAGTGTAACATCACAAAATGTGAACTTTGTCATTACCTGATCTGGCCTACACATGTCTCCAGATCCAAAACATTGAGATTGTTCCTTAACTGCCCTATGAAATGCCTAGCAACCTACTCAGTTCAAAGACAATTAGGGATGGATAGCATCAGTGGCAGCCACATTCCTAGCCACATCCCTTGCAGGAATGAATAAAAAAAGCTGAAGCAAGAACAGCAAACAATCTGTATGTTATTTAAATTGAAAGAGTGCGCAGAACTCACGAAATAAAGCAGGATCAGGATGACCTGGTACACAAGCCAAAAAAATGTTCATCTGCAGGTTCAGCAGGTGATTAGGAAGGGAAATTCAGTTTAACAGTATAACTTTGCAGAGTTTTGGTCAGACCCCATCTGGAGTACTGCATACAATTCTGCTCTCCTCATTTGACAAAAGATATAACTGAGAGGCAATTCACAAAAGGTTCAATCAACATATTGCTGGAATGAAAAACTTAATATCTGAAGAAAGGTTGAACAGGTTGATCTTTAGCAATTGGAGTTTAGCAAAATCAGAGGTGATCTTATTGAATGATACAAGATCCATAGGTGACTTGACTGTGTAGATTATTAGAGGATTTTTCCCCTTGCAGAAAAGATTAGAACTGGGGCATAGTTTAAGAATAAAAGGTCTCATTTTTAAGTCTGAGACAAGGAGAAAGGAGAAAGTTCGGGGGACGCAGTAGAAATCTCTTCCCAAAAAGCAGCAGAATCTAAGTTGTTGAATTCATTTAAGACGGAGTTCAATAGATTTTTGAAAGACAAGGGAGTCAAGAATTATGAAGTTGAGATCACAACCAGCTCAGTCATGATCTAAATGAACATCATCAAACGCTCAAAGGGCCCAATGGTCTGCAAGTTCTAAGTCAGTCCTTTTTCCTTCATTTAAGATTTTCATTTAACTGTGAGGGAAAAGCTGGTGACCACAGGTCTGCCCCATTTCCATGCCTCCACTCCACCAACAAAATGCTTTGCCTTTCTTCATCAACAGAAGCATTCAGTTCTTCAAAAGGGTGTCCTTTGTTTCACAGAAAAGTCCACAACGAAAATTAATATTAAACTGCTTTTTGAGATATAGAATTTTTGCTTCCAGTATTTTCTTTATTCCTTTCATTTATTTCATGTTCTGTTCAGTTAGGGAAAAATATTGATTAGCTTCCTTCCACCTGCAAGAGGTAATGAGAATGCAACCTCAAATTTAGGCAAGACCATCAGCTGCCCTTCTTTTGATGACTGAACAAGACAAATTTAGAAAGTCTGCCACAAGTGCCACTTATAAAGTCATCCCTTGCCAGTGGTGTGGAGCAGTCTCTAAATGCCTTGCTTGCAGGCCTGGCACATGTTTTGGAGCTTCTGAAACCATATTATGATCACAAATTCCTCCCCACACTGGCAGAAGTACTTACTACTATCACATGTGTAACAGCTGCTAAGGTACCATCTCCTGCCATTAGTGTTCGAAGAAGTACTCCATTTGTGCAAAATGTTAGCAATGTCTTCGGGGAAACCCTGAAACAAACAAAACAATTTTGATTTAGAAAACTTAAATGCCAGAAGCACTTTTATGCTTAGCAGCTTCGTTCATTATACCTGCTCTCCAGTCGAATCTGATAACCAATAGTCTGCCCAATCTTCTCACCCCGCTCTGCAGCAACCCTTTCTGCCACAGCAATAGCTGCAAGTCGCCTGGGCTGGGTACAGAATATACGACAGGGTATTCCATTCTTGTAGCAGTCATCGAGAAGGAACTGGGGTATCTGAAATATAATGCAATGGCAAGTGAACAGTCTTATAATTAAGCAAAGACTCAAATTAATAGCACTACTGCAAAAGTATTTGGAAATTTAAAAAAAAAATCACGTTCTTGACTTTATTTTCTGTGATCATGAGTGACACTGCTGTATGTTTTCCAGGAAGTTAAAAATATCAAACCAACATTAAAACAAATATGTTAACAAATACCAACTGCTAAAGCTTTTGTTTTAAACAATGAAAACAATTGGTATTGAAGTAACTGGAATTAAGAATAGCCAAGAACAGTAGTAAATGAATTATCAGCAAAATAAAATCTATATATTGTACTGAAATCAAGAGCTGGATATTACATACTCTGCTGGATATGTTTTCAGCAGGATAGCACATAAAATAGGGAGGGTCTTCAGCCCATGCTGTTCACATCTACTGCGAAGCTCACCCTATAACAGAGGATGGCTGGGTACTTAAAGCAGCAGCCAACACATCATATATAAATAAATAACTAAGTGTCACCTGACCTGGTTAAAAGCACAAGTGACCCCATAATACCCTGCCCACACATATTATGGTTAGTGAGAACAGGCAGACAGGAGGGGCAGCCTTTTTTTTTTTTTTTTAAAAATACAAGTTTCAAAAGTACAAGGAAGTGAGGGCTACTTTCTTCAGAGGGTGCCATTTGGGCATCAGGAGCACCAGCCCAGAAAATAGCTACCTGCCTTCTTCACAGCCCACCCTTCAAAGCCCACCCTTCAAAGCCCTTCCCAAGATGACAAGCTTCCTTAGCCTACGTCCCTTATTTACCTTGATCCAGATATCAATCTGACCTTCATTCTGGGACAAGTATCTACAAGTTAAGGGGACACACCTGTGTAGTTTTTCCAGATCCTGTTTCTCCAACTATTAAAGTCACTCTGTTCTCTTTTATGATTTTCACTATTTCATCCCGCTTTTCAAAAACGGGCAGCGACTGCCGAAAGGCGTCTAACTCGGAGTCTCCACGTTTTGGTGGAACTTGAGGAATGCCATTGTTGAGTCTACCACTGGTCTTATTCATCTCTCGGTTGTTTTCTGGAAGGGCAAAAACATGGAACCAACCGAAGTTCAGCTTGAAAATCAACATGAAAACCTAACAAACAGCACAATCAAGATATTACAATGTATCTTAAAAAGTGACAGGAGTTGTGCAAAATAACCTAACCAATAACATGTACTTTTAAGTCATTAAAAACAAAAATTGTTGCAATACTTTGCAGGTCTGGCAGAATTTGTACACAGACAAACAGTTAGCATTTTAGATCACTACTTCTTACTTCTCCACCCGCTGCCAGATTTTGAGTGTATTGCCAATATTTTCAATTTTTATTTCAAATTTTCAGAATGTATGTAATTATGCTTCTGTATATATTATTTTTAATTCCTGGACCAGATTGATACTGATTGCATATAATGACAAGCCCTCCACACAAGCTTCTCCTCAACCTTTGGTAAGTTAGATACCCTACGATTAGTATTTATTGCCAGGTGGTTACAACAATAGTTGAACTAATACCATTATGAAAAGCTATCATAAATTTAATTCCAATTGACAAAATATATTTTCACTGCCTTTGAAAACCCATACCACATTTTAAAAATACTTTGCCTAAATAGTGGACATCATAATGCATCAAAATCTAAAGACAGCTTCAAGTGGATTGTCAGTAAATTTCTAAACCAAACAAAATGCTAAAATCTACATTTTTAAAAACAGAAATATGTCTTAAATTACAGCTATGGGTCATGCTGTTCCGAACAGGAATATTTTTAAACAAGAATCCATGATTTTAAATAATGGCAATTAGAAATCTAAGTAACACTGATGCATTTTTAAACAACTTCAGAATGCAGCCCTGAAACAACCCGTTGTCCACCTGTTAGTTTCGGACTCTGAAAAGGTGACCAACTTAATTGGAATATTTTCAAAATTTCGAAAATGGAGATATGCCTGTCAAAAAGGTTTATTGCCTCCCTCCAAAATAAATAGTAATACATACCTGCTTCAACAGTTAATGCATTCCCACGTTCAGTTTTGGGCAAAAGGTCTGTGCGCTCTTTATTAGTCACAGGAAACCTCTGAATTAGATTGCGTATGGCATGCTTCATACTGTGAGTTAGTGTACAGGTCATGACAGCCTGAGCCATCTCAGAGCCATCTTTTTTCTTTATTGTAAGAAATCTGTGTGCCCCTTTTCTGAAAGGAAAAGATCATATTGTTGTGATACTTGCCAATTTGTCCTGCACTTCAATTCACTCAAGCATCATTCTGCTTTCTCTTAATTTCAGGCAGTGTCTAATGCACCATTTGAATAGATAATTTGATAAAAATATTCATTACAAAGACACCAACACACACTGTTGTTTTTGGGGTTCACAATCAGTTATCTAATATAGGCAGGTGACAAAACGCAAGTAATTTTCTGACAGTTTATTGAGTTTAAGGAACAGCAAGGAGCTGGGTTGTGACCGGGAACAACTTGGCATGAGCTGAATGCACGGGTTGTGTCCTGTGGCGACAGTGAATTTAGTGTGGGCCGGAGCGACGGCGGCAGATCAAGAGTGGGCTAGCAACAGCAGGCCGGTGAGACAGCCAGGAGCGGAACTTTGGCGAGGGCTGGGAAGCCCTGAGCAGGACTGTGGTGGAGGCATGGCGAGGGCTGGAAAGCCTGAAGCGGGACTGCGGCAGCGAAAAGGAAAGTCGGACTCTCTTAGGTCATCATTTTTTCTCTTATCTTATTCTAAGTTAATGTGAATGGAGCCATGTATATACGGTGAAGGTACACAGTTTTCACAGCCTTTTTACATTGAATACATGTGAAAACAGATGATTCGAATCAATTCAGTTCAATTCATCTGCTTGGTGAAGTCCAATTAAGACTACTGAGTACTAGCCAACGAAAACTGTTGCCCACCAGGCATACTTGATGAGAACCCCCAGCCCCCTCCCAAAAAAAAAACTCCTCTCCACCCTGGCATTTTTATTTATTCATTTCTGAGGGATGTGAGCGCTGCAGTCTGGCCAGCATTTATTGCCTGCCCCTAGTCACCCTTGAGAAGGTGGTGGTGAGCTGCCTTCTTGAACTGCTGCAGTCTACCTGCTGTGGGTTGACCTACAATGGCATTAGGGAGGGAATTCCAGGACTTTTGACATGTGACAGTGAAGGAATGGTGCTCTATTTTCAGGTCAGAATGGTGAGTGTCTTGGGGGGGAACTTGAAGGTGGTGGTGTTTCCATGTTTGTGCTGCCCTTTCCTTCTAGATGGAAGTGGTTGTAGGCTTGAAAGGTGCTGTCTGAGAATTTTTGGTGAATTTCTGCAATGAAGCTTGTAGACAGTACACACTGCTGCTACTGAGTATCAATGGTGGAGGGAGTAGATGCTCGTGGATGTCGTGCCAATCAAGCGTGCTGCTTTGTTCTGGACGGCGTCAAGCTTCTTGTGTGTTGTTGGGGCTGTACTCATCCAGGCAAACAAGGAGTATTCCATTACACTCCTGACTTGTGTCTCGTAGATGATGGACGGGTTTGGAGGAGTCAGGAATGAGTTACTCGCCCCAGCATTCCTAGCTTCTGGCCTGCTCTGTAACTACTGTGTTTATTTAGTGAGTCTAGTTGAGTTTCTGTTGTAATTAGTATATCATATTTCTAGGAACATGTAACTTCGGCTGTGTCAATCAATTGTCTGAACCTTTCTGGCAATTGGTCATAGGACAGCCCCTCAGAATGTTGGATGATCATTGTTCCCTTGTCCACTTTCATTTAAGGTTTAGTTTACCATTTTAAGAATAAACGCATTTTATTTTTGAAAACAACATACTATAATAGGGTGCGTCTAGCACCAGATATATGGTTGATGCTAGCTGAATGGGCAGTGCTACCTTTATAGATAGTAAGAACTGCCGATGCTGGAGTGAGAGATAACACAGTGTGGAGCTGGAGGAACACAGCAGGCCAGGAAGCATCAGAGAAGCAGGAAAGCTAACGTTTTGGATTGGGACTCTTCTTCAGAAATGGGGGAGGGGAAGGGGGGTCTGAAATAAATAGAGAGGGGGCAGTGATAGCAGGTAGGTGGGAGAAAAGACAGACAGGTCAAGGAGGCAGTGAAGCTAGTAAAGGTGTGTGTCGGTAGGTAGTGGTGGGGATTGGTCAGTGAGGTGGGAGAGAAGACAGACAGGTCAATGAGGTGGGGATGAGAGGGGCGGCTGGTCTTGGGATGAGGTCAGGGGGTGGGGAAATTTTGAAGCTAGTAAAGTCCACATTGAGACCATTGGGTTGTAGGCTTCCAAGGCAGAATATGAGGTGCTGTTCCTCCAGTTTCCGGGTGGCATCGGTGTGACATTGGAGGCGGCCCAGGATGGACGTCATCCAGGGAGTGGGAGGGGGAGTTGAAGTGGTTCGCGACTGGGCGGTGTTGTCGTTTGTCACGAACAGAGCGTAGGTGCTCTGCAAAGCGGTGTCCAAGCCTCCGCTTGGTCTCACTGATGTAGAGGAGGCCACATCGGGGACAGCAGATACAAGAGACCATATTAGCGGATGTGCAGGTGAACATCTGTTTGATGTGGAGGGTTTTTTTGGGGCCTGAGATGGGGGTGCGGGGGGAGGTATAGGGGTAGGTGTAGCACCTTCTGCGGTTGCAGGGAAAGGTGCCAGGGGCGGTGGGGCCGTTGGGGAGTGTGGAGAGGACGAGAGAGTCGCGGAGAGTGTGGTCCCTCCGGAAGGCAGATAAGGGCGGGGAGGGAAATAGATCCTTCGTAGTGGGGTCAGATTGCAGGTGGTGGAAGTGGCGGAGAAAGATCCGTCGAACCCGGAGGTTAATAGGGTGAAATGTGAGGACAAGGGCAATTCTGTCTTTGTTTTTATTGCGGAGAGGGGGTGTGAGGGCTGAGGTGCGGGCAACGCAAGAGATACGGTCAAGGGCGTTTTCGATCACTGAGGCAGGGAAGTTGCGGTCTTTGAAATAATAGGACATCTGGGATGCTCGGGAGTGGAACGCCTCATCCTGGGAGCAAATGCAGCGGAGGCGGAGGAATTGAGAGTAGGGGATTGCATTCTTGCAGGAAGGTGGGTGAGAGGAGGTGTAGTCTAGGTAGCTGTGGGAGTCGGTGGGCTTGAAATAGATATCAGTTTCGAGGTGGTCACCAGAGATGGAGACAGAGGGGTCCAGGAAGGAGAGTGAGGTATCAGGGATGGTCCAGGTGAACATGGAGTTGGGGTGGAAGGTGTTAGTAAAGTTGATGAACTGTTCAAGCTCCTCGTGGGAGCATAAGGCAGTACCAATACAGTCATCGATGTAGTGGAGGAAGAGGTGAGGGATAGTGCCAGTGCAGCAGTGGAAGAGGGACTGTTCCACATATCCTAGAAAGAGGCAAGCATAGCTTTGGTCCATGCAGGTACCCATGGCCACCCACTTAGTCTGTAGGAAGTGGGAGGGGTTGAAGGAAAAGTTGTTAAGTGCAAGGACGAGTTCAGTTAAGCGGATAAGGGTGTCGGTGGAGGGGGACTGGTTGGCCCTATGGGAGAGGAAGAAGCAGAGGGCTTTTAGGCCATCTACATGGAGAATGCAAGTGTACAGGGACTGGATGTCCATTGTGAAGATGAGGTGTTGGAGGCCAGGGAATCGGAAGTTTTGGAGGAGGTGGAGGGCATGGGTGGTGTCCCGGACGTAGGTGAGGAGTTCCTGGACCAGTGTGGGGTGGGGGGGGAAAGAGTCGAGATAAGCGAAGATAAGTTCGGTGGGGCAGGAGCAGGCAGAGACAGTGGGTTGGCCAGGGCAGTCAGGTTTATGGATTTTGGGAAGGAGATAGCAACGATGCTGCCTGGCCTGCTGTGTTCCTCCAGCTCCACACTGTTATCTTAGTGCAAACTTTATGTCTTTTGTAATTCTTCCCTTTATTTACATAAGCTAAAATTTTGTAGAGTTAATTACTGCTGCAATAACTTTAAATAAAATCGCATGCTATACAGTAAGTAATAGGAAAATTCAATGTTCACGGGACCCCAATATTCAACAGCACTTTCATAGTAAGTGGCCCTAGAACTTAGTACATTGATTGGGGAGGTAGGTGGGTGGGGAAAGCAAACAAAAAGCGATCATCACTTAGAAAAAGAATTAGCACTGGTAATAAAGTAAAGTAAAGATTTTAAAAGTGATAAATTTAAAGAGTTAATATAAACAATGGTGTTTACTAAAATATTGCCAAACTACACAGCCACAATAACTGAAACTTTGGCCATCATTACCACAGAGAGAGCTTGGCTGAGTGAAACTGGGTACATTAGTTCAGCAGTGAAAGAGCAAATGATAAGAGTGGGGCAAAGCCATGAAGAGATATATAAACAAAATCAACTGAACTGTTGACAGGCATAGAGCTGGAACTCAGCAGCAACAAAAGGCAATACATGATTGGGACTTGATGAGCAACGGAGTTTGTGGGATGTTGATGAAATGCTCAATGCACCGGCAGAATTTGATGCGAATGCAGCGGTAGGAGGTAAGGATAGAACCAGGTGATACAATAAGAACTTGAAACCACATTATAGGTAGAATGTGAGGTTTGAAGCTCAGTTAATTGTCAAAAATGCAGTAAGATTGTTCTCAAACCAGACCCAAGTGTGCAAAGTTGAGAATAGGGCTATAATGAAGATTTTCGTGCAAACACTAAAATTCTAGCATCAAGACAATAAACCTTTGATCCAACCACAACTTGATGTTAGGCAAGTAGCAGAATATATGAACTGCCTTGAATGTCAAAATGATGACAGCGAAGGAAAGTTGCAATGCCACCAGTGTAAACATGGATGCTGATTCTGTGCTTAGAGATAATACTGATAATGCAATGAGACAAGGTTGCATTTTTCCACATGTTCATAAAGTGTCAAATTCAGAAGCCCCATGGAGCTTTTCCATCTGAGAATCCTGGTAAGCTTTCTCTCAATTCTCAGCTGCTTACCTCATCTCTACAGTGTCACTGTCATGCTCAGCAGTGGTGGAAACACTCACCAGGAGCATTATGGTGTTCATCATAGCCACATTTAAACGCCAGCTGTATATCATTTCAAATGATGCCAGCCTGGTCTGAAGTAGTCACCAGGTACATGTGGTGCCCACAGTCTAAAGGAACGTGTAGCAATGCTGCTAGTAAGCGAATGATCTTCGGCTCTCCACAAGGATTAAATGCCACAATCTTCTCGCTGTTACCTCACACTCACTTTATCTCTGATGCTGCACCCATCTCAGCTCATCATTTAGCACTCTTAATATTGCACAGGGCATCTCAATTCCCTTCATCTAACCCAAACCTCCAAACTACTAATCCTTCCTTCCATCTTTGCTTTTTACTCACTCACTCAGAACATGTCACCACCTCTGGCTTTCTTCACCAAGGATTAACCAGCCCCTGACTGGACTAAGGACTGCTCTCCTCAGAGACTCAGACATGGTCATTTGGTTGAAGTGCATATAGTGCGCTTGCCACATACTCTAGGCATGACATTAACGTAGCACAGTGCTGTACACCAACACATCCATCAAACTTGACAGATCATTACGTACAAAATGACAAGCTACTTGGCTTTCTGACTGCACTAAAAGGCAAGCCAAAGATCCTGTGAGCACTAAGAAAGTAAAGAGGCTCTAGGATGCACCCTGCTCCCATGCATGAAATTGTACCTATCTCTGCATGCAATGCAACCTAGCAGAAATGTAAGGTCTCAGGGAGCTCCAAAGTGTGGTAGTCAAACACTGAACTGTATGAAAAGTTAGTCTGACATGTGCCATTGGGATGTGGAGAGGCTGGTGCTTTGCAGATGCCAACCTCCATACAAAAGGCACAAGCATTCACAAAATGTTGGAGAACCTGGTGAAAAGTCAGCAAGCTGCAGCTGCCAGGTTAGCACTCTGGTTTTAAAGTCAGGAATTGGTGTCCTCTCAACAGTACCCAGGAAAATAGGACCTGCATATTCTTGAGTCGACATAAGGTGATGAGATGCTAACACATGCAAATAGGCCCTCATCCTTCAATGCTCACTTGATTCTCACCCAGCCATTAAAAACTTAAGCAAAAATATCAGCCTTCTTCTGCCTCCTTGAAATCAAGAATCTCACTGATTTTTTGATTTTCATGTAGTAAATGAGTTGCTAGTTTGAGTTAATTTTGGGTACTTTTACAGCCTGATGGTGATTAATTTGCAACAATTTTCCATTTTGAACGAGCATAGTATCTTAACTGTAATTGATCTATTTATGTATCTGTTGTAAAATAGATGAAAGAAACATAACATGGTTAAATACAGAACGTCAAATGCAAATATATTAAAAGTCACAAAAGATAAATATGTAACATCTCATTTTACCCTGCTTGGGTTACAAGACTACATCATTTGGTCTGTACCATGTCTTCTGTAAAACTAAAGCTTTGCCACGGCATGTACCAACATGTCAAACATATCTCAACTCTTTGAAACTCACCCTTTGCTTTTAGAAATCAGGCCAAGGGACTGGGCAAGACGGTGAATGAATGCCCTTTCTGTACTAGTCAAGGAAGATGGAAATTCCATTTCTAGAAGAAAAAAAAATTAGTTGAAGCTAAAGCAAATGACTTATGTAATATTTTATCTGATTTTCACAATTTAAAAATCTTTTGGAGCATCAATCCTGGCAAGAGACACGACACATCATGTTAAAACTCCAACCTTGCAATTAATAGTGAAACATTCCTTTCTCAATCATTTCTATTAATTCATTCCAAATTTTAACAAAGCCACCACCCTTCCCTAAATGTAAAGTTTATTATATAAGGATACAAGACTCCACACACACAGCACCTGTTGGCAGCAAAAGACTTCCAAGTTAGTAAACATATCAAGAGTCTGAAGGTGAACTGTTAAAACTTTGAGCCACCAGACTGAGGCTATTTAACAGGATTACTGCCCAAGTATCAATTTTCTCATCAGTACACACCACAAAATTCCTTTACCTCGCTCGTTTTTTTCATTCAAGTTTCGGTCTCTCGTCAAGGGCATTGACAGTCAACTTGTCCCTTATTAAAACTATCCTGTAAAAACCCCCATCCCACTACTTCCAATTGCATATGCAGATGATTTATCTAGAAGAATTCAAACTGATTTGTTTTTTCTTTTGAATTCAGGATTAGAAAGAGTCAGCCATCACACCGTTCAAATTTGCATCAGTCACTTGATGAAGCTGTGGTTGATCTAAGTGTGCACTCAACTCCATATTCCTACATAACTTCAATAACTTCGAGGTCTTAATTAAGCAAAAATCTACCAACCTCCTTAAAAATAGTCAGTCAATCACTCTGCCTCTACCATTCTGTGGAGGAAGAGTTCCAAAAAAAAACCTCAACCCTCAAAAAAAAATTCTCATGTCAGTTTTAAATGGAAGAGCCCTTACTTTTAAAATGTATCCCGTAATTCTAGTCTCTTCCACAAACTGAAGCATTGTTTCAGTATCCACTGTATCAAGTCCTCTTGGGATCTTGTATGCTTCAAAAAGATCATTTCCGATTCTTGATACATGGCCATCCAGTCAAACCTTTCTTGTCAAGATAATTCTCTTACCACCTGTAAAAGTCATTTAGAGACCTGCAGCATTTTGGTGATCTATCTGGAAGAGTTTTTTGTCCAAAGTCTCCTTCACAGCAGCTGTTCAGCTCTGTGGTTTTTCTGGCTGCTAGATGGTCGTAAGGCTGTACCAACAATTACTTAAAAAAAAAAAAAAAACTTTTTAAAATTCTTCTTTTCTCTTCAGATATCTTGGATCTATTTCTTGATTTCTCCGCTATGAGTTTCTAGACAATGTTTCCCACTGCTGCCACCACCTTTTATCAAGTGGATTGATGCCACACCATGAGTTTGTGTTCAAGACTGATTGGTTAAGAAGAAACAAAGTCAACAACTGTCTTTGGCTTAGACTTCAAAGTAACACGATTTATTGTACATTAATACTAAATACTGGTATACATGATTATCATAGATACGTTAAGCTCTAATCTTACAATTATATTTGGTAAAGACTAACCTATTTTCCTTGTGTGTTTATGTCCATGTGTTTTCTCAATACTTCTACTTGAGCACAGTGTAGTAAAAGCTTGTGTCTTGTCTAATGCGGCCACTTCCAAATGATCTCATAATGTGCTATTTATGCTCAGTGATGCAAGTTCTCTGACATCATCATAAGCTCACTCCAGGGTCTGGAGGCCCTTCCACAAATCCCACTCAGTTTTCTCTTGTAGCCCTGACCATATTTTTTTAAAAATCAGGTGCTTAACCAATTCACATTTGTAAACAACAATTATGATGCAGATAGATTCATTCTCAGGAATTTCAGATCTCAATCACCTAATGTTTAAAATCTCTTTGCAAATATATCTGAAGAAGAATAATCTCAGCTTCATCCGCTTTCATAACTAAATGTGGAGGTGCCGATGTTGGACTGGAGTGGACAAAATCAGAAGTCACACGACACCAGGTGGTCGTCCAACAGTTTTATTTAAAATCACAAGCTTTGAGCGCTGCTCCTTCGTCAGGTGAAGACGTCAAATAATTGTGATTTCAAGTAAACCTGCTGGACTATAACCTGGTGTCGTGTGACTTCTGACTTCATAACTAAAGACCTTCTTGCCTAGATTTTTATAAATCTTTTCTGCACCTTCTCTTTAGCTTTCATATCCTTCTTTAATTGTGCCGCCTAAAACTGAACACAATGATCCAGTTGAGGTCAAATCAACGCTCGATAAAAGGTCTATCGCAACCAAACTGTTTTTGCCTTTATATACAAAGCCCAAGAATCCCATGCGCCTTTTTAATATCTTCTCAAACTGCCCTGTCATCCTCAAATGATTTGTGCACATGAACACAATATCTCTGTTCTTGTACACCCTTCACTATCGTACCCTATTTATTTCTTCTCATTATTCTTACCAAGAATGTATTTTTTCACGTTTCTTTGCATTAAGCTTCATCTACCACGTCTACCCATTCCCCCACCCAATGTCTTCTATAAATCTATCGATATCCTCCTCACAGTTCACATTTTCAATTTTATATCAAATGCAACTTTTGAACTGTCCTGTGGACCAAAGTCTAGATCATTAATATTGATCAAGATAAATATTAGTACTGGGATCTCTAGCAAACCTCACTGTCTACTTTCTTGACAAGTAACCATTCACCACTACTGTTTCCAATCACCAATCATCTTTGCATCCGTGCGGTCACTGTCCCTTTTATTCCAGGTGCTTCAACTTTGCTGGCAAATTATGTTGTACTTTATCAAACACTTATTGGAATTTCATGTGCAAAACCAACCACCTCTATCTCATCGACCCTGGTAATTTAAGAAAAAGTTGTATTTAACAAATGCTGCCTTTCTGTCATTCATCCACATTGATCAAGTGAAATTTAAAAGTGCAGCAACAATCTATGATTTTATGAAATGCATTGCTACTGCATTCACCTTTTTGATCACCGTATCGGAACCTCTCGAGGGCGATGTTAACTGCAATTTTCACTTCTTCATCAATCCGGATATCCTTAAATCCTTTGGCTTTAGAGGTAGCTTGGCTTGACTGGGCACTCCCAGGCCGTGGGGACACACTTGTAGGCCTCGACATATTTTAGACCTAAGGAGATAAAAATGATTTTGAAGTAGTTTAATGAATAAATCTAATTAATTTTACACTATATGCAAAAACTTTTAAGTATTTAAATAAAACTATAAATCCTACCTACATAACTGGGCTGGGTTTTGCTTATTTCAAATTAAATCTGATTTGTATTTTACAAGTTTGCACAATCACTTTCTTTTTGAAACTTCTTTAATGTTTATTATTTCTACATTCCTTATCAAGAATTACCATTACAAGTATTTATACAGGATCTTAGTGAGTAGTCCATTAAATATATTCAGCAGTACACAAAACAAAGCTTACTTTAAATGCTTTTTTCCCAGGCTGAACTGAAGAACACTTTTATTCTTTCATGGGTTCTAGGCTTTGTTGGCAAGTCAGCAATTGCTGCCCAATCCCTAACGGCCTGCAGTGCTGTTAGGAAGGAAATTCAAGGTCTAATAACCTTTCCCCCTTGTTGTCCCTGCATTACCTACTGCAAGTCCAGATTGACACACGGGCTTCAGGATCTAACCAGGTCAGTCCTGCAAAGTCAGCCACATTTAGTGATAAACATTATAGTATCCTACCCAGCGTACATTCTATGCCCCGACCACCTTCAATGTTTGCTTCAACTGATGTTCAACATGGAAGTGTCCAGATTCATTAGCTGAGGGAGAGCAGTAGTTGGTAGTCAGCAGGTGGTTTCCGTGCCTGCATTTGACCTAATGCCACGAGGCATCAATCAAGGTTGAAAGACTTCCAGACATATTCCCTCCAAACAGTGCACCATTCTACTGTCACCTTAAGTGGGACAGGACATAGCCAGGAATGATGTGGTGATATTGAGACATTGGCTTCAAGTTCTGGTTTGGTAAATATGAAAAGTGCTGCTTAACTATTCCTCCTTACCTATCCTACTAGTTTCAAGGACTTAGGTGTGCATGCTCAGGAGTCATTGAAATTAACATGCAGATACAGAAAACAATTAAGGCAAATAATATGTTGCCCTTTACAAAAAAAAATTCTAACAGGTTTGTCAAACGTGATATCCCATGCAAGGAAATACTGAGAAGGTGTTACGATGAACTGTTCACAAAACACTAGCTTTTGTTGGAGTACTGTGTCCAGTTCCCAGGGGTTGGTTAGACAGCTGGTTTGCAATGTAGAATTACTTCAACAGCATGGGTTCAATTCCCACACCAACTGACATCACCATTAAGGTCCCACCTTCTCAACCTTGCCCCGAGGTGTGGTAACCCTCCGGTTAAACCACCTTAGTCATCTCTCTCTCTCTCTCACGAGACAGTACCCCTATGATCCTCTGGGTCAATGGTAACTTTCCCTTGCTATTGTGCTGGGTATCACAACTTAGGGAAGATGTAAGACAGTAGAAAGTATACAGAAAGGATTTATGGAAGAGGTTCTAGGGATGAGGACTTCCAGTTACATTGGAGAAAAGAAGATTAGAAGGAGAACCAGTCGATGTAGTATATTTAGAAGTTTTTTGAAAAGGTCCCACACAAGAGACGGTAAACAAAATTAAAGAACATGGGATTATGAAGAATACACAAGCATGGGTTAAGAACTGGTTAATACTCAGAAAACAGACAGAAGGTATAATGGGTCATTTCAGGTTGGCAGACTGTGACTAGTGGGGTATTGCAAGGATCAGAGCTTGGGCTCCAGCTACTCATGATTTATATCAAAGATTTGGAAGTGAGGTTTAAAGTGTAATATTTCCAAGTGTGCAGGTGACACAAAACTAGATAGAAGTGACAGCTGCAAGATGCAAAGGGGATTTGGAGAAGCTACATTTGCCAGATACAATACAAATGAGAAATGAGAGGTTATTCAATTTGTTAGGAAAAATAAAATTACAAAATATTTTCAATTGGCAAGAGGTTGGAATGTGTTGAATTTCAAAAGGACTTAAGTGTCCTTGTTCAGGTAATTGAAATTAACATGCAGGTACAGCAAACAATTAAGGCAAATGGTATTCTGGCCTTTATTTGTAGAGGAATTGAGAACAGGAGTGAAGATGTGCTGCAATTCTATTCAGCCAAGAAGAGACCATGAAGTTTTGGTCTCCATATCCAAAGAAAGATATATTCAACCTAGAGGGAGTACAAAGAGTACAAATTAATTCCTGGGGTGAAAGTATTGTCCAATGAGGAGATACAAAATAGACTAGACCTAGATTCTCTACAGTTTAAAAGAATGGGAGGAAAGATCAACAGTGTAGGTGCAGAAAGAAGGCATCCCATTACTGCGAGGACTGGAATCTTAACAGTCTCACAATAAGTCATAGATGAGGAGTAATTTCTTTTCAGTCATTTTGTGTTGCAGCTTTTCCCCATGTAAATAATATTTTGTTTCCCCTTCCATCATGAACAACTTCACATTTTCCCACATTATACTCCATTTAACAACTTTTTGCCCACTTACTGAACCTATCAACATCTCTCTGTGAATTGTTTGCATCTTGCTCATAACTTGCCTTTCCACTTATTTTTGTGTTGCACTGTTTGTATATTTGCTTCCTGCCAAATTATTAATATATATATAGTAAATAGTTGCAGTCCTAGCACTGATCCCTGTGGAATCTCTTATCCCCACTCGCAGTTTCTTGTCTGTTAGCCAATTCCCTATCCACGCCAATATACTAAGTCCAACACTATGGGCTCTTATCTTATGACTTAATATATTACAAGGTACCCTGTCAAACAACCTCTGGAGGTCCAAATATAACACATCTTCTGGCTCTCCTCTATCCAGTCTGGTTGCAACTTCCTTGAAAACTCTAAATCAGTCAGACATGAGCTTCCTTTCATGAAGTCATACTGACTCTGCTTGATTATAAGTTTTCCAAAATGTTCTAATGTTACGTCCTTAATTCCAACATTTTTCCAACAACAGATGTTAGACTAATCAGCCTATAGTTACCTACTTTTTGCCTACTGCTGTTCTTCAGCAGGGCTGTCACATTGGCAGTTTTCCAATCCTCTGGGACTACTCCCATCGAAGGATTGAGGCTGCAAGAGTGCAGATTTAAGATTAGCAAAAGAAATTAAAAAGGGGCGGCATGGTGGCTCAGCAGTTAGCACTGCTGCCTCACAGCATCAGGGACCCTGGTTCGAATCCACCCTTGGGTGACTGCCTGTGTGGAGTTTGCACATTCTCCCCGTGTCTGCGTGGGTTTCCTTTGGGTGCTCCAGTTTCCTCCCACAATCCAAAGATGTGCAGACTAGGTAGATTGGCCATGCTTAATTGCCTGTAGTGTTCAGGGATATGTAGATTAGGTGGGTTATAGGGGAATGGGCCTGGGGGTATGGTCTTATGGTCAGTGTGGACTTGTTGGGCCAAAGGGCCTGTTTCCACACTGTAGGGATTCTATGATTCTCCAGAATCCATGGATTTTTGAAAACTTACAATCACATCCACCATGTCTGTAGCTACTTTTTGTTTTAAGGATATTAGGATGCAAGGCATCAGGGCCAGGGACTTACCTGCCTTTGGCCCCATTAGTTTGTCTAATACTACTTCTTTGGTAGTATTCTTCATTGTTGGGTCCTTATTCCAGTATCCTTTAGTATCTGTGCATGTTCAAAGTATCTTACTCCATTAAGACTGAAGTCGCTGGTTAGGCCAACATTTATTGACCATCCCTAATTGCCTAGCAGGCAGTTAAGTGTCAACCACATTGCTGTGGGTTGAGAGTTATATGTAGGCCAGACCCAGTAAAGATGGAATTCTTCTTCCCCAAAAAGATTTTGAACCAGATGGGTTTTTCCAACAATTGACAATATTTCACACAGGCTCAATGATTGAGCTTCCACAGCATTCTGGGGCTGAAAATTCCAAAAAATTCACCACTCTGAGTAAAGAAACGCTTCTTTAATGCTCAGTTTTAAGTGGCCTGCCCTTTATCCTGAGATTATGTCCCCTGGTTTCAGTCTCAGCAGCCAGAGGAAACATCTTCTCTACATCTACCCTGTCACATCCTAGAAGAATTTTGTCAGCTTCAATGAGATTGTCTCTCATTCTTTGAAACTCTGGGGAATGCAGATCCAGCCTTCACAATCTCTCAAAACAATCCCACCATTCCAGGGATTAATGTTGTGAACATCCATGGCGCAGTAGTGCATCAAGTTGATCCTTCCTCAGATTAAATGGACCAAAGCTATACTCCAGGCGAGCAGACAACTGCAGCAAAACATATTTTCTCAGGTTCATAAATCACCTGGAAATGAAGGCCATTTGCCTTCCCAATTGCTTGCTAAACCTGTATGCTAACGTTTAATGATTCATCAATAAAGTCACGCAGGACCCTTTGGACACCTATGCTTCCCAACCTCTCACATTTATGAAATATTTTGCATCTCAACCAAATAACTTTACACTTATTCACATAATAGTCCATCTGCAATGTCCTAGCTCATTAATTTAGCCTGTCCAAGTCCTCTTGGAGCCTCCTTGCATCCTCCCTCACAAGTTATGTTCCCACCTAATTTAGTATCAAAGCAAATCTGAAAAGATTACAACTGGTCCCCAAATCTAAATCATTTATATAGATTGTGAAAAAAAAAAACAACTTAACAAGGAGAGCAGGAGGTTGAGAGAGAGAAATCCAAAGAACAGGCCAAAACAACTGAAAGCACAACTGCCAGTGGTGGTGGGAAGGAAGTGGTGAATGCATTGGAAGAAGAGTTCTTGAAGGAATGATCACAGAGGAAGTTATAGATATGGTTTTTTTTTTTGGGGGCGGTGGTGGTAGCGAGGCCATGTCATCGAGTAAGTCATTATATATTTTGTTTAATTGCAATACATTGTTAAACAATTTATATAGTGAAGAAACTATATAGACTGGCTCAAAGCAACGTTTATAGTTTTATTGTTCAGTCAAACAAACTTAAGCTGACAAATTTGAACATGTTTTGAAGTGGGCACAACTTTTACTGAAAGACACAAGCGTCTTAAAATTGTTTCATATTGTAAAGAAGTATGTAACAGGTCTAGGAGACCATATATGGAAAGAGTGATGTATTGTGTCATTTATGTATATTTTAACATATTTTGAACATGAATTTTTGAATATGAAATAGTAGCATGTGGGTTTTCAGTGTGTCCAAAACAGTTTAATGATTAACATGTAACTACTTCTATAGCCATGGTGATTTATTTTAAAACAGTGTAAGAAAAAAGATTTCTTGCAGGGTAACTATTTTTCTTCACATTGTTCATTTGCACATTTCACCCAATATAAATAATTACGTATTAGGATCCCGTTCAGAAGGTCCGAGGTTGATTTCTTTCTCCTTTGATTAGGGTAAACATCCATAGCTTGGAGAAAAAGACAATTTTTTTTTAAATTTCAGGTTGGGCATTTCTGCATGATTCTTTGCTGAAGCTACAAGGGGTAATTACTCCTGGGAAATGGGGAAAGTAGTTTAGAGTTGTTAAAACATGTTACCTCATGGTAACAAGTTTAGTTTAAATGATCTAGACCAGGTACGTTTACTTAAAACTCTGAAGGGATGTGTGAAGCTGAGTATGTCTAAGTTCAGTTAAATGATGAATCAAGGAAGAGATTTTCAAATTCTCAAGATGGTGAATTAAAGTCAAAGTTGCATTATGCACTACAGATGTGAAAGAGAAGGAAACGCTCCCTGATTGTGTACTCTAAAGCAATACTGCTGAGATCAATAGGAGTGTATTTTACCTTGTTTTTCAAAAATCCTTAAATTTGTGTCATATATAAATTATTTGATTTATTCTGTTTTATCTCTATTTCTTTTGCATAGTAAACTTGTTTATTGTTAAACCATTGAAAGACCACCTTATTATAACCAAACAAAAATATGACCTATTAAGCCAAAATTCAGGCTTGAATATGACTTGTGCATGCACACAAACATTTGGTCTACAGCTGTGCACAAACATATTTATATATTACTTTGGAATTAGGTTTTATAATTAGTTTTGTAGTCATGTTTTAATCGTTTCATATGTACCATTTGCCACATTGGTGATTACAGTTAATCAAAAAGTGATGACACTACATATTAAACTGATACGTTAGTTGTTCATTCGTGCTGCCTTAATTTACCAATTCCACAAATTTTTACTAAGAGAGGCAAGATGTTACAAAAACAATGATCTTGTAAAATGATTGGTATATTAAAGAATGGATCATGAGACAATTGAAAGGATATCACCAAGATGACCATTACTTGCAAACAAAATCGATCAGGAATTGGCACATATTATTTAGCCAACGAGATTGATCATACACTAAAAGTGCTGGAGAAACTCAGGTCAGACAGCAGCTGTGGACAGAGAAACAGAGTTAATGTTTCGAGTCCAATAAGGACTCTTCTTTGGAGCTGTTCCATTGTTTCTACCTCCAAAGATATTGCCAGACTTGCTGAATTTCTCCAAGTCTGATTTTATGTCAGATTGCCAATGTCTACAATCATTTTCCTCTAATTAATCATGCATTAACAAGTCAACTGGAGTTCAAGATGTTTTTAAGTAGTAATCAATAAGTGTTAAAAAGGCCTGGGTTTTTAATGGCTCAATGCACAAAGGGGAAGACAGAATAAGAGGTTCTGTCAATTGAACAACATACCTGTGACCAGTGAACCTGTGTTGCCAACATAGACTGGCCAAAAAAACACAGCTTTTTGAAGTATTTTGTTATGATCACTCAATAAATTTCATAAAACTTATGAAAACATGGAGTTAGTCTTGTACCCAGTCAGGACCAGAAAATTTTAGATTGGGTTTCTCAAAATTTTTACAATTAAAAATGTTGAAGTTAAGTGCACCTCAAAGTCTCTCAAAAGGGTTGGATGAAGTTATAGAGATTGGCAGGCCATGGATGAATTTAGAACAATAAGATTTGCATATCATAAACAGATACTAACAAAATAGCTGAACTATTTATAAATAAGAAACCAGTTATAATATTTTACAAGTACAGAGGAGTTAAGGTGCACACAGCTATACAGATTAACACAAGTTCGGTTGCCATTAATAGCCAACAAAAAGCCAAACATACTTATCCAAGTGATCAAATGCAAGGAAAGACCACCAATGTATTTAGCAAAACAGGAAACAGCAAATGAACAAGATACCAGAAGATGACACTAAATTATAAATTTAAAAGATTCAAATAAAATCAGTAACAAGTGCAAAATCACAGTTATTTTGGACCAACTAAAACCATTAACAAGTTTTGAATAACTCTAGAACACCTTTGGGTATATTGGAAATAAAGAGCAATACAATTCCTTCAAGTAGAACAGAGGGGATAAGAATTCAGTTAGTACTGACACTGCAAAAGCAATTACTATCTGAAATTCTTACTTTGATATTTTACCCTAGTCATATTGGTCTAAATGATGAGATCACGATGCTGGAGGCTTTAAGCTTTAAACAATGGAATTTACAAGCCCGGTGGTGAACCCGTCCACCACTGATGGGGATTTCACTTTCAGATTACAGACTTTAATTATGCAGTTGTAATCCAGCTGTGGCGTCACAACAGAAACTGCTCTGTCGTGGATCAATGCCTAACTAGAAAAATAGCATAAATTATTTGTACTAAACAGAACGCTTTGAACCTAAGTGGATATCATTCAGAATAGGATAAAATCTAGTCTGAAGCCTGTAAATACGTCACTAGTTTATACCCTACATTCAAAAGCAAATAGTTGAAATGTTGGATATTACCAATCTTACAGAAAGGTGTCACACTTAATAGCGTGCCATGTTAATATCATTCAACCCTGAGGCCTTTGCAAACTCCCAGTTTATCCTGAAGTGGGGACAGGAGTCAGGGGTTAGGGGTCAAAGTACATCAGGTGAGGAGAACTCGATGAATTAAACCAGAAAACGGCTGGAACAGACTCACTTGTACCGGAGGCCGCGCCGCTCGCCTGGTCCTTCACTGGAGTCAAGATAAACGGCAGTCGGTGTCGCGAACTGAACACAAACAGGCCAGCAAGGCTTCAGTCACGACTATACTACCCATTTTGTCTCATCGAAACCAATAAAGAGGCCGTGCGCTCACCTGTCACAGCCACTCGGTTCCCCCCAGCCGCAGTTCGCCTTCTCGCTCGCTCCCACCGACTGACGTCCTGCTCGAGACCGCACCGCCCCCTCACGTGACAGCCGACAGCTACCGGCCGCGGCTCGAGCTCATTAGCTCCTTCAGGTTCTCCTGTGAAGATAGACATAGGAAAACGGGCAGCTTTTAAAGCAAAAGATGAAAACCCTGAAGCACCATTCAATCAGAAACGAATGGAAGCAAAATAAAAGACCGTTACTGCAGATCTTTTAAAAGAACAGAAACTCAGCAGTCTGACGGCATCTGCAGAGAAACATGCATCAAGTCGTGAAGACACTTCATCAGAAATGAGAAATGGCTTTGAATAAGTAACAAGGAAGAAAAATAAAAGGATAGATCTGCGATAGGATGGAAGGCAAGAGATTAAATGACGAGAGATTTCATGGTACAACAGTTGAAGAAAAATGGGTAAAAAAACAAAACGTATCTCGGTGAGGTGCTGCCCGGGGAATGTGGAAAGAAACGAGACAAAGCCGAAACTGTTGGTAGGAGAAATAAAACGGTGGCATAAGTTTTGATCAGAAATTGTTGAACTCACTATTGAGCTTAGAAGGTTATTGAGTGCCAAGTCAAAGCATGAAATGCTGTTCCTTAGTTTGCGTTGAGCTTCATTGGAAGTGCGTAACCGGGAATGATGAACTGTCGAATAATAAAGTACATTTTGGCATCGACTGGGATTTTGCGGGTATTGCTGCTAGAGCTGTGGTGGGTTGAAGGGGTGCTGCCTGATATAAAGAGCAGAACATATGGAAGAACGCATGTGTGTGAAGACGTACTGCATACGCCCAAAGAACAAAATTTAGAAGAAAATCAGACAGAATCCAGGCAGAGTTGATACGAGACACAAATCTCAAATGCAGACCGTTCTGGAAAATACAGGACACTTCATTACCCTGACTGCAATGGGATAACGAGATCAGAGCAAGGTGAAGAAGTAACAGTACAAAATCCAGTCATGCTTGCAGACTGACAACAGTGGTTCCATGAAGATGATCTGCCTTTGCCAGTACATCACACAAGCCAATCTTCCTCCATTAACTCCATCTCTACTTCTCGCTGTTTTGGGAAGGCAAGACGCCTCCCACCCAGGTTACATTTTCTTCCAACCTCTTCCGTCAGGCAGAAGATACAAAAGCTTAATCATGTACCAACAGATTCAAGAACAGCTTCTTCCCCACTGTTATTTTATTTCTGAATGGACCTCTCAAATTTTAAATGTAATGTTGTGGTCGCTGTTTGCACGCCTTCTGTGCAGCTGGAACATTGTAAGCTTCACTCTGTTCTATTATCCTTATGCACTGTGTATGGTATGATCTGCCTGCACTTTTCACAGTACCTAGATATACATGACAGTAATAAATCAAACTTTAAATGTGGAGATGGCCACCTCACGAGCAACAAAAATGGGACACAAATTAGAAGCACATTGAAGAGTGCTTAGAAACATGTAGAAAAGGGAGGTAGCAGAAGGGAAAGTGCTGCATTTCATGTGCTTGCATGGAAATGTTCTGTAAGTTGCTTCTGTAAGTGATTGAGTTGATCAAGGTAAAGAAGAGCACAGGGAAATGTTTAGTTGTAGAATCATGCTAGAGATAATAGAAATGATGAATGATAATCTGTTGGAGGTTGATGGATTGAAGAGTGAGGACGAGGAATGTTATCACAATTCTGGGAGGGAATGAAAGGTGTGAGAACAGAAGTGTGTGGAATATAATGGACACAGTGAAGAGTCCCATCAACCATATTTGGGGTGGTGGGGTGGGAGATTTCTTCAGAAAAAGGAACACAAAAGTGGAAGCTGGTTGGACAGGTGTATTGCCTGAATAGACATAACAAGTCTGAGAAATGCTGAGAATGGAAATAGCACCCTTACAGGAATCAAAACGTGGGGATGTATCATCAAGGTAGTTGAGAGACTCTGTGCTTTATGGTGAATATTAATGGTCTATTCCTAGAAG